CACTTTCTTTTGCTCCGTGATAATATGCTTTTCTTTGATTTAAAAAACAAAACGATTCGAACAAAAGTTCAGTGTTGCACAGTGATAAGAATGACGCTAGCGATATATCGTGATAACTTTGATAGTACGATATGAATATTCATGCTATTGGTACATTTCAATTTTGTGACAACATGAATTTTTATCCACAACGTGAAACACCAAATAGAGACATCTAAAATAATAAAATAAAACTCTACATAGATTCTACATTTGTTGTTCCTGATATCATTTATATCCTTCTACCAGAATCACTTCAATTCCCATAATCCGATTCAGCACCAATGAACTCAATTGATTTGATTCAAGATATTCAAGATAAATGCGAAATGATTGATAATAATTATTGAAATCAGATGAACAGTCTCTCACCACTAAAGTCACTGTAAATAACACGTATTCACAGCCAGTCAGCGGGGGCTGGCGCAAAAGAAGCAATGCTCCAAGTTCCAAAAACGATTAAAAATAAACCGCAAAAGAGACAAAGTTCCACTCAGTTAGATCGACGGTCTAAATTTGGCATCAATTCATCTAGAAAATATAGAATTAGCAAAATCAGACACACACAATGAATTCCCACAAAATATAATCACGATCGACTCTGATATTAATGAAAACGACGACGACAATAGTTGAACTACAGTAATTCAAAAGAGAAATACATCTAAAGCACCACTAACATCGAAAAATGAACAACCATATACTGTTTACCAATTCTTTTCGCATCAGAAAACACCCAACAAAGTCGATTTCATTACTCAAATGTGCTCAAACCAAGATCATCTCATCAACCAATCAATTACACAAGCCACAAACAACAAACGAACTGGAAAAAAATACTAAGTCGAAAACAATGTTCTGGTCAAAGCCCAACAAATACGTCACTACTGTCGACGCATTGAATTTTATCGAATAAAAATGGCCTAACTAAGAATATATATAAATATATCTCATTACTAAAAGTCAAAATTCATAATTTCCTTGTCATACAATCTCGCAAAAATAAGTGCAATGCGATTTTTGTCCCCGGCTGCATGTTAATCGATTTGTTTATCTGTCAAGAGCACCGAATGACTGGCGCACAAACACACACGTACGCAATCGAAATATACTGCTACGTTCATATATATTATTTGTCACGTAAGAACCACTTTTCGATAATGTTGTTATCGCGCGATGACTGCGCATTGTACGATGGTGACTAGTGATTTTATTTTAAATCATAATCTTTTTTAAGATACACAAATAAGATAGATTTCTAAACGTTATATTTAGTTTTGAAAAATTGGCACATTCTTATCTAATATCTATAGCTTGAAATAATAAATCGGTTTAATGTCTTCGATGAAATTTCATTCGACTGTTAATTCGACGGTAATTTTTATTTCAGACAAAATGTCATTCTTCAGGTGCCATTTAACCTGAGCAAAGATCATACTCATATGTCTTGCTCAACAGCTAACGAACACGCACAATTTTTTAAAACAAAAAAAAAGTGTGAAACACTTTTGTAGTATGCATATAAGTTTTATTTCGCATTTTTTTCTGTTTCGTGGATACATTCAATTCTCCGTTTGAGTTGCTTAAATATTTAAACAACTTGGTTTGGTTTGTCATTTGGTTTTGCATGACCGCAAACATCAAGCGATTGTATGACAAGAAAATAAGACGAAGAGAAAAACACAGAGAGAAATAGAGAAAAAGCAGCAGCATGATTTGCATATTTCTGCGCAACGATTACAAACGACAATCTCGAAACTAGATTCCTAATCGCATTGCATGCAAAGAACTATCGGACATTTTTAATTGAGAATTTCAAAATGTTTACAAATAACATTGAAGCAATGGTGTGTGTGTGTTTTTGTGGCATGGAAACCTCGAAAAGGAGTGTATATTTATTCAACGCAAGATGATGTTTAACAATCTTTTAGATTCAATTTAGAGGATCTAGCCATTGAGATGTAAAAGAATGTCGCGATGTTTTCGTTCGATTCGTTCTTCATCGATATGAAAAAGAATCTCTACACACAAAATATTTCCCCTAAAATAAAAGATGATAATGTGTAATTTTTACATATATTTGTAAATTGGGAGAGGAAAAGAAGAAAAATTATGATAAAAAAAGCAGCATTCTCTTTCTGTAAAATGATCAGCTTTCAATTTAGTTGTGAATATATTCATATGTGTTATTTTTGTCTCATTCGAAGACACTTTGCCTCTCACAGAGCGAGCGAGAGGCAGCGAAAAAAAAGAAAAAACGAAACAAAATACCTTAGTATCATTCGACCCAGTTCATTATTGATTTTTTTTAAGAAAAAAAATACACCGTTGCGTTTAAAGCATCACAACAATTCTCTCGAACAACTATATAAGTAACAAGTTTAGTACGAATGCTGCGCAGCGAGACAAGAGAGAGAAAAAAACGACAACATATCTTGTAATCAAATGAATTTTTACGAATACTTAATATAATAACCGGTTTATCATACAGAAATTAAAGAAAAGAGAAAAAAAGCATACAGTCGAGCATCTTCCTCGATCAATTTGAATGTGGAAAAACCTTGTGGTGATTTGCTTTAATGTGACCAATAAATCGATTGACTGAATGAGACAGCGAGAGCGCACCAGAATATTTTCAAAACGTCGCTGTCATTTTAAATTTGTTTGAGAGTAGAAAAAAATATATACATCCATAGATTATATGCAGATGATGGCTCATTAAATTCTCTAGTCTCCAATACCAAACGCACCGATAGATATGTATGTGAGAAAAATTCGAAAAAAAGACAGTCATGTTTGATTTGTCAATTTGTTTTTTTGTTTTCATAAAATGACGATTTTGACTCTTTTGCCTCTTGCTCGCGACCGACTGGAATTCATGAGAAGATTCCATAATTTTCTTATGTATTCATTTTTGCTGCTGTTGTTGTTGATTTGTTGGATGTGACAATAACAAAAACCAGAAATTAGAATATATGATTATTTCTTGTTGGTTTCAATCATAAACTCTATGGGGTTTGTTATAAATATACTTTTTTTTTGTGTTTCAGAGCACAAACTCCGAATCAAGATTGACTGACATTATGCTCTATCTATTCTTCTCTTCTTCACTGTTCAGGTGCAATAATCATTATTCACATTGTTCAATTGAATTCGAAGAGAGGCGCACACGGTTGACGATAAATGAGAGATTGATTTGATTCGATGAACGAGTACGCTCGTTCAGTCGATTGCACACATAAAATTGTTATTTGTTTACATCAAGTCAGGTAAATGACATGCGCTTGAATGCTTAACAGGTGTGTGTGTGTGTTTTGTTTAAAAATGTCAGTTTTAAAGTGATGTATTTATTCGAATCACACTTCAGCAACTCACTCTCACAGACCAACGAAAAAAAAAAACAAAAAATAAAAACAATGAATTGTAAAAAAATGTCTAAAGATTTACAATCCCAGTAATATAATTTTACGTGAGCAATGAAAATAATCTCATTGCTTTTTTCGGGTTTTATTCGCCGTTAATGGAAGACCTTCCTATTCAAAATGCTTGGAATAATGACTTTTGGTTTCGAGTACGCGGAAAAGTGCTTGTAGAGAAGTTGTTTCGTTAACAAACAGTTGAACCTTCCATATTTTGTTTCACTTCGTTTCGGTACAGAGAGAGAATTTCTACTTTCAGAAAAATACCGAAAATGTATACTCGAGAAAAAAAACCGAAGACGAATCATAAGCAACTGAAATTAAGCATACCTTTTCAAAGAATGAAATGTTAGTTATTTTTTTTGTAAATTTTTTTTCTCTCTCTCGAAAGAGTTGAATATAAAAAAAAACGACTTATAAAGCTTACAATAACGAAATCAAGTCGTGGTATGATTGGACAATTATCACGTATACGTGTATATTACAACGCATTGCTCATATAACAACAATGTGAATTGAGGAGAAGCAAGGAAAGAAAACGACACGTAAAATGAGACAAAGAGAGCGCGAGAAAGGGGTAGAGCCAGAGCGAGAAAAAGAAAATAATAATAAAAAAAATGCCAGAACAAGCCATTAAATCGGACGAAACACATCTTTCTATCTTACATTTTATTTTTTTCGCTGTATACAAATGAAATGATGTGTGTATGGTTTTTTTTATAAGCAACCGGTTCCATTTGTTATACTTTTTAAATGCGGTTTCGGTCTTTATTTTGTTCTGTTCCATTCAATTTGTTTTTTTTTCTTGCTTATTTTTCACAATTGGCTTTCTTGTATGCGCATATTCCTGCGATTAATCGCGGAAAATTATTGCTCATTTTACCAAAAAAAAAAAAGATTGTTCAAGTCTTTTGTCTCGTTCAAAAATTCGATTCTTTCCTCTTTTCAGCAATAGAATGAGGATGGCGATCAATTTCAAAGTTGAATGTTTGAAAGTGCAGAAAAAGAGAAGAAGAAATGCGTTACATGGCCATTGTCAATAATAACACACTGATACCAAATACAAAATGTTACACTATCAAAAGAGTAAATTCTTCAATTTTCTTTATCGTATTGTTTCTGTCTCTTTCTCTCATGCCGTCTTATATAATGCGACCTAATAACGGTATATCGCAAAAAAAACCGAAAAAAAAGAATATCATACCCAAATCACCTTCGCCTCGCATCCGATAACTGTAAATGTGCGCACACCAACATACGATGCAGAAAATAACACAATATGAAATGTGGTAATCAGATTTCGGCACAAAAAAAAATAATTGCATGCACATCGTAAAAGAGAACACGAAATAAAATCGCAACAACAAACATGAAACACAAATAAAATGAATTTACAGCCGTATTTTTACGAGAAAGGCACAACAGAATGATGTAGATTTTTTGGTGTTCCCGATATTTTCTTATAGTCTTCCCGATTTTTTCATCATGGCATGTGTGTAAATAATTTAATTAAGCGTTTTTCGTATTGATTTTTTGTTGCAGAAATGTTGGTGCCAGGACATGTGTGTTCGTTGTATGTTGCAACGGGAGGTGCTAATGGACCGGCACTCGGATCTGACGAAAAGGAAATCGTTCTACTGGACTACAGTGTGATCGATGTGTTAACCAATGAGGTAAGTTAAAATTGTTTGGGCCGATGTTTTCGTTTGAACATAGCCAAGCGACAAACTAAAATCAATCACCTTTTCACATTTTAATTGACTTCAAGTTCGTACATTTCCCATGCAAATGAATCGAGCTATCGACGTCCAATTGTTATGTCTATCGATCGATACAAAAAAAACATACCGAAGAAGTCACAGTTCGGGTTAAAGTTTGTATATTTCAAAATTAATTTTCGTTCGTAACGCGATTACATTTTCAAAAAAATCGATACAATGAACAATATAACATTGAATTGTTTATTCAACATTTCGTTTCCTTTTCGATATCGAAATTTTCGATCTACAGGAAAACCATCCCATTTAAATATTTCGATTTTTGTTTCTACCTTTTTTCTGGTCGTTTTTTTTTCTTGAAATAAAATTGATTTTTAATTTTCGTTGTTTTTATTTTCAATTCTTTTTCAATCGGCCACATTAAGTTGTATGTAAATAATAAAACCAAACTCCTTTTTATTTTTCATGCTCGAATGAAACATTTTCAAACCAATTTTCTTTTTATTTTTCTGGTTGCAGGTAGTTTTAGCGAATCAATTTCTAGTCCGACCAAATGGTCAACCCGGAGAAAAAGAACAAACTAACAAAAAAGACAAGTCCAATAATACACCAGAAACCGCTACATCAACTGCATCATCCACAAATGCCGATACATCAACAACAGCAACGCCGGAATTCTCATTTGCCGAAACGGTGTTGGAAAAAGTCGGAAAACCTCTTAAAGATGTCATCGAACAGGTAAAAGATTTTAACAAAAACGGTATATTTTTAAAGACATTAAGTACAATTCTTGTAGTTTTAAGAACGATTCAGTTGTGAATGCGATCGTTTCGATCGACCGAATGAATTTTAATTCGATTAACGTCACAAGTTCCAATTTTTTCCATTCACATTTCAGCTGTTTGATATTCGATTTTTAACTAAGCTTAAATTTTTTTATGTTTTTTCAATGAACAATATGTCGCTGTGATTTACATTGAATGCGACCCTTCAACATATACTCGAATATATTTTATGAGTTTCCTGTGCATTTTGTAATGAATAGGAAATGATAAAAAAAACCGACGCGATATTTTCCTCGATTTTTTTTTGATAATCCGTATTCTTTACATTTTAAACAGAAATTGCTAGTTGAGTAAATGCAAATATATTTATTTTTTTCTCCACAAATTCGAATTGATTAAATTGATTCGACGAAAAACTGGTTTTGTTTCACATCCAAATGAATTTAAAATGCGTTGATGCATGAAATAGCCCGAAAAGTAGTAATATTGTAATAAAAAAAAAACCTAATCCATAATGAAATACCATTGATGATCAGACACATTTTTGTTTGTTTGTTTGTTTTCCGTTGATTCATTTCAAATTTTTGCATTTGTTTATAACACATTTCAATTTGTTCACGTTCAAAAATTCAATCGGTTTATTTTGTTTATCTCTTCAATTTGTGTGCTTTGTTGCTGAACGTCCAGTTTGACCAGGAGATTCGATCACGAAACATCGATCCAGATAGTCCAACATTTCGAATAATAACAGATGGTCAATTACCATTGCGACAATGCCTGCATCCTGAAGCATGTGCCAAAGATATAGAATTGCCCAATTATTTTTGCAAATTTAGCGATCTAAGAAAGGAATTTGTCCGATTTAAAATGTCGGATGCATGGCGATCCGTAGTACCAATAAAAGATTTACCAAATATGCCACCATTGCCAACTCAACCGACGACCATAGCAGACATGATAACAGGTAAACAATAATTAGCATCTAGATGAACATCATAATTGCTTTGCTATTGCCATTACTATTTTCAACTACCGATCGTTTTTGTTTGTTCTTTTTTTGGTTCGGTTGTGAGTGCACACAATGAATCTAATTCATTCGAATGAAAACAAAGATAAAAAAAAATGATTGTGTTATCATGCTCATCAAAATGATTTATCGTAAATCACAAAACACGAAATATGAAATTGATATTCTTTGATGTAAATGACATGAAATCATATTGCCGGAACTGGACAATATTTCTTAACATAGCAATTCTATGATTAACCTTATGAAATCTATACGATTGACAATTTTATTTTTTCTACTTATTCAAATCGATACAGAGTTACAAATTGAAGCGACCGCCCAACGAGAAAACGCTGACTTTTACTTTAACGAAAGTCGAGACATGGTTACCGTTATAACGAAATTGTTAGAAGCTGGTAAGTGTGTGGTGTACATACCGTTTTATTAACATTTATTTGATGCACTAAAATTAAATTCACGGTTGTGTAATGACGATTGTGAAGACGGATATGAAAATGAAGATAATGAAGAATACGAATGAAAATGAAGAAGATGAGTTTGAATCGAGTAAGTATCAATTGAGTTCTACAGACCAGTCGGTCAGTTTGTTTGTTTTTTTTCTGCATTTTTCTTTTATGCGAGATTCATGGCAATTAGAACGTTTTACTCCCATTTTCTTCATCATTCTCTATTCATTATAATTTTCATTTTTAAAATCGGATTTCGGTATTTGTTCGTATGAAAATGAACTGAAACGAAAAATCGCCCTCTTAAATTCGTTCCATTTTTTTTACAAAAAAAAACAACAGGTCACAAATTCGAGTCCAGTGAAATGATAAATCTTACATTTGAGCCGGGCATATGGTAAGTGCTGTGATTTTTTTCTTCTTCTTTTTATCTTTTCTTACTCCATCGTTCGTCGCACTTGACCAAACATATGTTTTTTTTTTGTTTGGATAATTTTCGGTTATTATTATTTTTGTACTCGAAAATGGTATGTGTTTGTTCTTTTTTCTTTGGTAAATGTCGTTTTTGATCGTTCTTTTTTTATCTCTTGGAGATTTACTGCATATTATCTCCAAATGCGATTAAATCAAAAGAAATATTTAAGTTAATAAATCATATTTATTTGGGCGAAAATGTGAGCGGTTTTCTATGGAGAAAATTGACGAGTCTATTTCAAATCCGCCACGATGGTACTCTTAATAATTAAGCCTAAAAGTAGTCATTAGCTAAGTGCTTTATGCTGGCAAACACGTGAACGTTTCTCAATTCATTTTAACACACGTTTGCGGTTCGTTACATCGGATCCCATTGTTTGTTGTTCCCTTTTGCCAAGAATTAATGTTGCCAAGATGTCACATGTCACATAGAATATTTTATTTGTCACAAAAATCCCAAATGCACACCGATTAATTAGATCAAATTTTTTGTGAATTCACAGATTTTCGTATCCAAAAAAAAAATGCTTTCGAAACAATTCAATTTGAAATAATAAAGAGCAAGAAAAATGAAAATGTTCATCGAAATGCAGCGAATAACATTCAAATGTCGGACGTCATTTGTATTTGTTTTGCATTTTGTCATATAATACGTGTAATACGTGTCTTGCTAACACATATATTAGCAGAAAAAGGTGCTTGCACACATTGCACACTGGGCTTCCAATTCAACATTAGCCATGCACATTTGTCATTGTGTTTGGTTCGCGTGATTGCTAGGTATTTCATGGGTGTATATAGATGCAGTCAAGTGTTTAGCCTCATAATAAACCGTACATTTTTCATATATGCTATAATTTTGTGTGTTCAAGTGATCTGTTCATAGGATTTGTGTATTTCGTTTCGAAAGCCATAACGAACTTTAACAACAAAAAATAGATCCACTTCAACAAAGAAAAAAATATTTTTTTAAAAATCAAATCGACGGGTCTATGGTTTTGTGCGCTAGAATGTGGCTTGCACTTTTGTTGTGTTTTTAGAATTATCCAAAACACAAATGTAATGGAAACCATCAAAGCCGATTCGCCGAAAATTGACAGTATCGATGCATCGAAAAGGTACGTGAAATAACCACAACAACAAAAAAAACCAACAGTGAATCTTCCATAATGCTCTGTCCAATTTACGGTGTGCAAGTGTGCCGATTTTTTTTCTACCAATTCTAGTGACTTTTACTTTTTGAAAAGTGCGTTGTCTTCGTTCTACATACATTCAAATAATAATAATGAAAAAAATTAAATAAAATGCAAACATGCACAAGTTACCTCATTTTTGTGGAATTCTTTTGTTCAGTTTTCGATATTTTCACATTAAAATCGAATTAAATGGAATTATATTTCAACATTACATTCTTATGTACGTAAATTTGTTGTTGCATTTGTTTTGTGTGTGTACAATGAATTGAAGCACTCTTTACGATCGACTAGTTATGAGCGCAATTGATGCATATATGCGTTTGCATTTTAGTTTTCCATCAAATATTACCCAGTGCAACTGTATCATTACGTATAAATACGTGTTTGATGCAACATTTTCCAATGCAAACATGAAGAAAAGACGAACCAAATAGCAAAAAGGTTGCGTGATAAGACCGGCTAAAGAACTTGAATTGAAAACATAACTTTTTTTTTGACATTATGCACTTATGTTTCTAAATATTGAACAAACGCACGGTTTGAAAATTCATTGAATTTACCGAAACATGAGAAATCTATGTCAACAAAAATTCTATCCAATAGAATGAAACAATACAATTAGTGTGTGATTTATTGTAGATGATTTTGTTGTTGTTGTTTCTTTTTTGGAAATCATCCATTCTCTTTTGCACAAAACACTTGTTGCAATGTTGATGTTGCTGTTTTTTTGTATGACATGCGATAATTGTTATGATTACAATTAATAGAAAAACAGAGCAAGTTCATTTCACACAATCGCTCCTTGAATAAGAATATATGTGTGTTGATTATTTCCCATCTAGCATCCCATCGAAACAATGCGAGTTCAAGTCCCTTTCGGTTGATGAGAATGGTTTTGTTGTTGTTGCTGCTGTTTTTTTCTCGTTTCATTTAACCAGAACATGCGTTATGTGATATTCTCGATGTTTGTTTTCTGCTGTTTCTCTTCATAGTTTTGAGTGCGCACATAAATTGCAAGTGTATTTAATTGTTTATTGTCGCATTGTTTTGGTGCTCGACAGTGTGTACCGGAGAAATCAAGAAAAATCTCAGCAAATAAATACGCATAAGTTTCCATCGTCATCATGTCATAAGAATTTTTGCATACTATACACACACACCGTGTGCGAATTCATTGTGTATGCGTGAGTGTGACCCCTTTCAAGAGTCGACTGGATGAGAATAAAACAAATGCAAAAAAAGCATACAAAATCCAACGTTACCCATTTGGAGTGGCTTGCACACAAAATTCATTATATATTGTGTTGCTTCGTGTAGTGTGTTTTTTTCGGTTTACGGAACACGGTTCTCATTTCATTTATGAGGTCTCTCACATACACTCTCATACAACACGCAATATTTGTGTTTTTCATGACAGCACTTCATGTAATGACGTACAAAGTTTATGATATTTCTTTTTTCGAATTTTATTTTATTTTGTTTGGGAAAAAAATGGCAAAACACACAAACAACCAAAAGAAACCGTGTAACTTTGTATGTATTCGCTTTGTTGTTTGAATTCAGTCTCAGAAATTGATGAAAAAAATCGCACCAAAAATGTGCTGAAATCGACGATTTGATCATCGGTGACGCGGTCGACAGAAAAAAATGAAGATTTTTCATTGCAATCAATTTAAACCCATTTTTACCGTTCCGTTTTTAACATGTACATTTTTTTTCTTCTTTGCATTTTGGTGTTATTTATTTTGGATGTTCATCATATACTATTTGAGTAAAAAAAAAATGTTGCCAATGCTATCGGCACGTAGAAACCAATTTATCATCGCAACGAAAACGCAACTATGATCACGTACAACAATTGACAACAACCATTACCACTTGTTTCCATTTACTTGTCGCATATTTTTGTCATTCATAACACAACAAACAAATCTTTTCTCAGTGTGCGACTTAAATTACAAAAAAAACTGGAAAGTTCTTTATGAAAAACATTTTCTGTATCAATTCTAAACAAATATGTCTCAAATTTAGACATAAGCATGATGTCTGTGCGAGAGACATTTTCCTCGTGAAATCTACAACGGATTTGGAAAGAGTCGCAATAAAATTGATGATTATTTTTGATGAGAATCCGGTATTACGGGTGACTTTGGACTCATATCTTTTCATCGCCGTTAAATATTACGTCAAAAACAATATTTATAGAATTTGAAGAGTTAAAATGTTGTTGTTTTTTTCACAACAACTAATCATACATTATAATCAAATTAAAACTAGTATAAAAATCAAAGAACAACATATGAAATTAATTACAATTTTATTGTTTGGTCATTATTAATAACCGATTTGCGTGACGAATGAAATCATAAAATTTACACATTTTATTTCTTATAAAATCGAATTTGATTTTTTTCTATCCAAAATAGTTCAATTGATGACGAAGTCGACGGACAGTGTATAGTTCGAGCTCGTGGTCTTCCATGGCAGAGTAGTGATCAGGATATTGCTAAATTTTTCCGTGGTTTGAATGTGGCCAAGTAAGTGTTGACTGCATTTGTTGAGTTATTTATCTATTGTCTGTATTAAACAATTAGCCAATTGTTGTTTGGTAACACCGGCCGGCACAATCAATAACCTATCCATTGGACCGAGATCGCATATTGTTTGGCTCGGTGACAATTGTGTTATTTGATTTGTAATTGAATTTAGTGAAAATATTTGTTGGTTTGGTGTTATTTTCGGTAAATCAAAAGTGGAGGTTGTCATATCACCTGAATTCGTTGTAGCTTGGACTTGATTGTTCATTGCATTAATGTTGTTGCTACTGACTTCAAATCGGTTCAAAGTATTTTCGGTGTAGGTTATTGCAATGTTATCTGAAAATATATCGCATATTTATATTTTGATTTCAAATTCAAACGTTTTTCTTCCTGAAAATCAAAGTTTACGAAAAAATGAAAAAAAAAAAACGTTCTGCTCGAAAAAAAAAAAAGGATACTTACCTATATTTTCTTTTAAAATTTCCAAAGTGTGTTTGCAAATACACAAAAAAAGTTGTGTATATTTATGATCATCGATCTGTTTGTGTTGCATATACTTCGAGTTTCTTCGATTATTACATTGAATGTAAAGTCTTATCTGTGATCGACACATATGCATGTCAAGTCACCGTATCACAAGCGTTCGAAATGTGCCGAAACCATACGCAACGAAATAAAAACGAGAAAAAAAACCATCTCCTGTGTATATTTGAATTGGTTTGTAGAGGCAATACATAGAGATTTCGATGTTGTGTGTTATTATTTGTGAACTCAAACGAAAAGACTAGATTAAAAGGTCAAACTGATAACTAATATTAAATATCTGACGAATAAGCAAAGCAATATGTTATTTATGAATGATTTGTTGAGAGTGAGATGGAAAGTAGTTGAAGATATTGGATCTAACGATGAACAAAAAAGTAAAACATTTGTTAGATCTATAAATTTCAGTTGACAATTTTTCCAGTGGTGGGTCACACCATATCGAGAACAAGACGAAAAAAGGAAAACAACACCGAAAAATGTCTTTGTAAACATCGAAAATATTGCGCTAAGATAACAATCGACCGAGACTTGAGGCTCACATTTGAATCGGCAATAATATTTTCTAATCTCACTTTTGGTGCGTCGTCATTCACAACATTCATATATTTTGTGAGAGAATTTTGATCGGTGCATAAAGACAAAAAAGGGTAAATCATCAGTGTGGTTTTTGTGAAGCTCTTGATTTGAATGAATTTTGTGTGATTGCAAATAAAGTGTATATGTGAGCCTAAAACAATACATAATATTTCGGTTCGGAAAAGACGAATAATTTTATTTTGAAGGAAGAAAACATAGAATATAAAGTTCCGCAGGGATAAAACGGCATAAAGATTTGGACAAAGAGTCTTTTGTAGGCGAGTAAAGTGTCACTTCTTTCACATGTAAATGTGTCAAACAGATTGAAATACAACAACCAATTGGTTCACGTTTGAAATTATTCCGAAAATTCGGCAATCATTGTAAATGTGATTAATTGCAGCAAGCAAAACCGTTGAAAAGAATGAAATTGAAAATCTCACATGTTTGGCGAATAAAAAACTAATAATCAAAATTTGTTTTCAATTGTGCGGTACAGGGGTGGTGTTGCGTTGTGTTTGTCACCACAAGGACGTCGTAACGGTGAAGCATTAATTCGTTTTGTGTCTCAGGAGCATAGAGACATGGCGTTAAAACGACACAAACACCATATTGGAAATCGGTATATTGAAGTGTACCGAGCAACCGGAGAGGATTTCATCAATGTGGCCGGCGGTGCATCGAATGAAGCCCAAGCATTATTATCAAAAGGTGCACAAGTTATAATCCGTATGCGTGGTTTACCTTATCTCTGTACATCAAAACAAGTGGTAAGTTTAATTTTAATAAACAAGACTTCAACAATATTACGCATGTATTTTGCTAACCACAGCGCCGTCATTCTGTGAAAAGATAGCATTTTACAGTGTAAAAATCCGTTTGACACATGATTTGACAATACTTTTTATATGTAATGAATTGGAAAGTTTCATATGTTTTACAATTTTAAAGTGAAACTTTTGTGTTTCAAAATTCTTTATCACTTTTCCATTTTCAAGACCGCGTTTTCGACTGTTTTTTAACAATCCAAATTTTCTTTTTAACACAATGCTTTTTTTTTCTCTCCCCGAAAATAGTTGGATTTCTTTGAAATGGGCAATGATCCAGTTCACGTACTCGACGGCGAAGACGGAATTTTATTTGTTAAAAAACCGGATGGACGAGCAACAGGTGATGCATTTGTATTGTTTGCCCTTGAATCGGATGCAAAAAAGGCATTATCACGTCACCGTGAATCGATTGGCCAGCGCTACATCGAACTATTCCGTTCAACAACTGCTGAAGTTCAACAGGTATGATGGGATTTTAACTCAAATCATTCATTTACACAACGGTTTAGTTTTATAGAACAATCGTACAAATATAGCAACAAGAACAACAACAAAAAAAAATGAGAATTCTTTTAGAGAACGAGATTTTGTGCTAACCAATTAACTGAATAATAATAAAACAAAGAATTGTTTAGACCGCAATCAAAGTAATTTAATAACCGATAAATATAATATAACATTTATCTTTTTTTTTCTTCATCGAATTAAAACTTGCTTTCGATTGAACTTTGGATTGTATAACTGGTAAGAGTGTGTGGACGTGTTCTATAAATGATCGAATTTAAGAGTGAAATAAACGCGAATAACATGAACATCATCACCATTAAATTGATGGAACATTTTAATAGAATGAACATTGAATTTTATAGGTGCTGAATCGGTCAATGGACACAAAATCATATGAAAACAATAATACAACACAACCGCCGCTTATACCACAACTGCCACCAGTGCAATTCAATTTGATGCAGCCACAGGTAAACAAAGATTACTAATACTTTGTCTTCCATGAATCGAAAACTACTTTCTGACAATTTAATGCGCCAATAAAGCGATAAAATGGAACAACGGATTTTTTTTTCTTCTTCTTTTGTATTTTAATGACGTAATTCTTCTTTCATATTATGTTTTTGTTTCAATGTTTTATTTATAGCATGTGATTACAAGTGGTTCAGCGAAAAATTGCATTCGATTGCGTGGCTTGCCATACACAATCCAGGTTGAAAATATTTTGGGTTTCTTGGAGGATTTCTCGAAGCATATCATTTTCCAAGGAGTGCACATGGTGTATAATGCTCAGGTAAGTGTGTCGACACAGTCAGTTTCATTTTTTTTTATCATATCATTAAATGTTCCATTGTCTACGAAAAATTTGACTTTATTCGTTTTGAAAATTTGTCAAATCTGCTTTGACAATGGTACGATTGTCATTGTTGAATTGCAACCAACATTTTTAAAATTCCAAACAAAAATAACATCAAAACCAAACAAAAATATTTTCTCCTCCCCCTTCACATAAAAAAAAATCAATACAAACGTACGTCATAAAGGGCCAGCCAAGTGGTGAAGCATTCATTCAAATGGATTCAGAAGAAGCGGCATTCGCTTCGGCAAAAGAAAAACACAATAAATACATGGTTTTACCGGGAAAAAATCAGAAAATTCGCTACATCGAAGTATTTCAGGTATTTCAAAGTCATTTTATCTTCTATTTCTAACATTTAAGATTATTGCATGCCATAAAAAAAGCGTTTCACACATTTTAAATCGCCATCATACCCGATTACTTTTAAAACATGAACAAATGACCAACACGGACGAAAAATGAAAACCGAGAAACCAAAACAAAAAAAAAACAATCTGTATCTTTTTCATTTCAGTGTTCGGGTGATGATATGAATCTGGTGCTGAATGGAGGTGTATCACCGAATCAACAGCGTAAATCGCCGTTACTTTCACACGGTATGTTACAAGCTCAGCAACAACAGCAACAACATACAGTTACTACCGAGAAACCGATATTATCAAATCAATATTTGCCCGCAAATCTGGCGGCAAAACCTCTATTAGCAAGTCCACCTCCATATCAATTGCCCAATCATCAATTGTCGATGAATGCGAATGCGAATGCGGCTTTGTTTGCTCAGCAACAAGCTCAAGCTCATTTAATTGCGCAACAAAATTTATTGGCACATCATCAGCAACATGCGGCCGCAGCGGCTGCTGCAACAGCTGCGGCCGGTGTTGGTCATCATGTGCCACCCGGCTATACATTAATTCCACATTCGGCCGCCAGTGCAATGCATGGCACAAATAGTAGTTTGGCCGCGGCTCAATCACCATTGTTGGCACAATCGCAATTAGGTCCGCACGTACAAAATTTAGCATCGTTAACACAACAATTGCCACCGAATTTAAATTTATCAAATCTTATGACACGAACGGCAGCCGGCTATCAAACGGCTAGCTTACAATCGGCAACACAAGGCATTCCAACATCACCGGCTGGTCTTCATACACCGGCTGGTATGTCACATTCATCCATTCCATATGGAATTTCACCAGCCGCCCTTCAATTTGCCACATTCCCAACGTCAATGTCTCCATATAATCCAATGCTATTGTCACCACATTCATTGGCCTCGTTGCAATTGAAAGCGCCACAAATGCAAACACCACATTCACGTTCATTTGCAACACCGTCGCATACACATACGCTTACGTATACGCATGCATTACAACAGCAACACCAACATCAACAACAGCAGGCGGCAGCATCCATTCAATCGATGAGCCAAATGCCAGCTCATATGGCCAATTTTCAACAACAACTTTCGATGAATGCAAATGCAGCGGCCGCAACATCGCTAATGCACAGCATTAAACGATCATATGAAAATGCTTTTCATCAAGATCCATCGACAATGCATCATCAAAAGCGTCCAACACAATTTACCGGCACTGGTATTTTGTGAACTAATACCGACATTTTGAATGCAATCGAAAAGCATATGAACACACATTCGCTTATTTGAACGTTCGTGATCTTGATATTATCTCTATCTTTGAGGCATTTGAATCTTCCAATGCGTTTTTCTTCGATTTTTTTGAGAATCGTTTCTTTTTTTTTTAGTTAAGTTATGAATTTAATTCAAAAAATGACCGAAAATGACAATGTGCAATTGAATTTTTCAATAATATTATTTATTATTATTATTTCGTATCCGAAATGGATTCGAATCAACGATGGTTGATTGAGACGATCATTCGTTATTGATGACAAACAATATAAATGACAATTCGAGCGAAAGTGAAGAGCATACAAAACCGTAAACAAAAATTCATTCGACAAAAGACCATGATATACATTTTCATTTTATTCCTTGCAAATTGACGGGACTTGATGTTTGAAAACAAAATTACTATTTCAAAAAAATTGTTTTATATATATATATATATTTGTTATTGAATTAAATGTACTAATCTAGCGCACACTACATACACATACACTCCTATCTGTCTCTCTTTTTCTCTATACGGAAAATGACACACACATATACACATACACACACACAAGAACTCTGTTGATTCATCAGCTAAAACATTATTTTTTGTTGTTGTTCCATTTTGATCATAAATTTAAACGAAACACATTTTGATTAGTTGAAGACACACATATAAAAGTGAAAAGATAAAAAAAAACCCTTTGAACTTAACTTTGATTAATGTTGGAATTATTAAAACGCACATACATCATTCATGATTAATTGGAATGAACTGATATGAAATAAGCAAGCCTTGAACATATTAACGTGTAGTTAAAATTAGGATGAAGTTAACATACATTTTTTTATATGAATATATTTAGGGGAAAGCAAATTCAAAAAAAAAAAAAGATCACCAACAAATGGGAAAAAATAAAAGCCACATTTTCCTAGGCAAATCGAACGAACAATAATGAAAGCAATACGATTTGAATGGCTTTTCATTGTAAAAATTTTGAAAAAAAAAACTATGTATTAATTAATTCATGGCAATCGAGTGTTTGGCACATATAAAAAAAAACAAAGTTTCATACACATTATTCATAAAACCCTCCGCATATACAATTAACATAGAAAGTGGTTTAATTTTTTTTTATCTTAAGGGACTTTAATTATACATATACATTTAAAAAGAACGGCGAAAATCGAAAAATGGCAATTTTGTTGTGGATTTTTCTTTTTTTCTTAAAAAGAGATTTAACAAAACAAAGTAATTCATTGGGTTTGACAATGTGGAATCCTGTTTTAGAGTTTAAAATGTGCACGCACAAATTAGTTACATTTTGGATATAAATATATATATTTTTTTATATTAAGTTAGAGAATTATAGTTACTAATTGAAAACATTTTCGAAAATACTATATGAATCGTTGCGGCGTAAGAGCAGCTCTTATTTTTCTCCAAATAATACTACAACATAATTTTTATAACAAATAAACCGTGTGAAAAAAACTTCATGTTGCAGTATTATTTGGAGAAAAATAAGAGCTACTGTTTCGCCGCAACGATTCATATTTATATGTTTCGTGTTAATCAATGGTTCTTCTTTTCCTCGCCCTTAACGTTCTATTATGTGTTGCTTTCAAGCAAACAAAAAAAAAACACATGCTTGTAGCTGAAAAAAATTAAAGTGATTAAAATCTCTTTTTTTTTATTTTCACGCTATTTCAAGCCAATTACATAGCGATCAAAAATTATGATGTAGACCGTAAAAAATTTCACATTTCATTTGCTTCTTTAATGAATCCAACTGTTTTTTTTCCTTTTTCATTCGCTTTATCAAATACATCATGTTCTTGTTTGTTGTTGTTAATTTTTTTTCATGTGCATTCCTTCTCTTTTTTCTGTAAAAAAAATTGAATTTTCTATGTGTACATATATGATGAACATTAACATAACATTGATGATCCAAAAAATACAATCATTCCAGGTTAGCAAGCCTGCACTCGACATCATTTCGAGAGTACTCATTGCGAACATTCCATTTTTAGGCTAGTTTAAAATTTCCATATAGAACGAGAGATTAATTTAAAAACAAAAACAATTCGTCGCGAATTTCTCTCTTTGCATGCCAAAAATGCATGCACATTTTTTCGACACCGAAAAATATAGCCGATTTTTTTTTTTTTTTCAAATGAGAACAATTTCAATTTGAAATCTGACTTTGACTCAATAGCTTATTTTAATTAGGGAATTATTCTATATATATATATAACAAATGAACAATGCTTATAGTTTCAGAAATAATATTTTTATCACATTTTTTTTTATTTTAAATTTTACATACAAATGAAAACTTTCTATATAATATATATTGGGACAAAAGTTGATAATTAGCAGAGTTGACTGACATATAACATATAGAATAAGAGCATATTTTCTTCTTTTTAAATCTAAAGATATATATATATGTGCTAAACTATAACTGTCCAATGGAGACAGTCGCAATCAGATCGATTTAAATAACAAAAACAAAAGAATGTTGCGTTAATGGTGTGTTAATTATGAAAAGAAATCGCATGAAATAAAATAGCAAAATAGGTGGAAAAAAGACATTTGAAATAACAAAAGGAAGAAGAATCAAATCAAGCAAGCAGAAAGAAAATACACACACACATAGAGAATTCTATTTTAGGAAATTTATTTATTTTTAGCCAATTTATTTGTTTTTAACTTACACACACAAACGCACTGAAAATGAATGGGGGTTTGAATGGAGCGCAAGCGCTTTTGGTGTAAGTTTGGGCAATAGTAGCGAAATTTTTATAATTTTTCATAGATAATTTAAATTAATGGGATTAGAGAGAAACTATGCTTTTTATGTATGGAAGAAATGAAGAGAGAGAGAAGAAAAAAACCGGACACACACAGGAGGCAAGCGTAACATTAACCGTAATTCATTTTCTGTGTTGTATATTCATTTGATGCATTCGTTGGACTATTTCCATTGTTGGGTGCCGATTAATAAACAATAGTTTTGTGAGATCATTTCTTAAGAAATATTTATTTTCGTTTTTTAATTGCATTTCTCATTTTTTTTTCAACCTTATTTATATTTTTTTACCTTTTACATATGTCATATTGGAAATTTGCGTGGTACGCGGGCTATTTTGTTGTATTTTTTTTTTAATTACAAAAATTATTTTTATTGGTTGTCTCTTTTTATTGTCTCATCACGTTGACAAACTCGGAATCGCATCTTTTTTTATTATTATTTTTTTTTTATTATTATTTATTTATTGTCTATCTGGTATAACTGTAAGTCTTTTTATATATGATTGTTTGTGCTAGTGAGTCTTTTTCATGTGTGGATTATTTTTTCCCCTCTTTACTTTGAATAAACAACGATTAATTGAATTTAAACAGAAGTAACACACGTTATAATTCAAGCAAATCAAGCAAATTTACGCCGAGCAGATCAATATATCGGGGGCATATAAAAAATGCAAAAAAAAAAAACATTTTGGTGTTTGGGACCGTTGGTGATGTAACAATGTAATCTCTCTTTTTCTATATATATTTTTTATATACCGTTGTACAGAGTGTCTGACATAGTGTTGAGCGAGATAATTTTGGGTGAACGTCCAGCCAATTCACATACACACGAGACATATACACACTATTATGCTTTGCTTAACACTATGACCACGGCACACTGTAGACCAATTTTTTTTTTTATCAAAAAAAAAAATCTTATAAAAAACATATATATGCAAACATATGGTGAGTGTTTTATTTATTTTGTTAAAAAAAAATTCTTCTATTAAATACGTATTTCCTTTTCCTATTGTCCAACAACAACAACAACCAAATCAACTAATTAATAAAAGACACATACACATTTTGTTATCACAAGAAAAAATTTAAAGAAATCTAAATGGAAATGGAAATGGCGACGGTTTTGGTATTTGGATTATTCACCCATTTTCTTTTGGAACGGATATACAAACACAAGATAGTCCTTGGATGGATTTGAAGAAAAAAAAACTACAATATTTGGAATATTTTGTGTTGAGAGTACGAAATTCATTAAAAATAATGCCAAATCTGTTGACGTGTACAAACCCATTTCCATGAGAAAGAAAAAAAACAAATTCTCACACAAAACAATACAACAAAAAAATAAATATTGACAATTTTTCATTTATTGGGTGAATTTGGAATCGGTGAATATTATCGCATACACATATCACGAATCAATTCTTATCTATTTAAATCGCTGTTATGGGAGTTTTTTTTTAGATTATTGTTTAAACATTAAAAAAAAATGTTGCTAATGATTAATTCAATCGCCAAAATAACTTTTTTTTTATCTATTCGCTGTTAGTAGAATGTAGAATCAATATTTATTGTCTATTTTTTATATGTCACATTTAAAAAAAAATCGAATCAGCTATGAGCGACTATTTATGCGTAGCTGAGTTTACCATAGTTAATCATTCTTGTTATTATTTCCATTTATTTCTTCACTATATTTTTTTGGAAAATCGTTTTGTTGTTGTTTATTGGTGATAATGGCTTTTGGAATTAAAAAAAAAAAAATCAAATTTGTAATTGTCTTGTGGATATATTTCTTCAATGGTCTTCGCTTAAAATTTGTGCTAAAAATGACACCTTTTATCTCCTCAGGCCAATATCGTTTTTATATATTTTTTTATAAAATCAAATACACACAAAAATACACTAACAGCGGTTTTTTAAACGGCTTCGCTCATAACTTCACACGCTTCTTAGATTTCTAATGGATTTTTTTATATATTTTCATCGAACGGAGGTCGATTTTTTTTAGTATAGGGATTTTTTTTTGAAAATCAAATTCAATGTTTAAAAACTGATACAGGCAAGGATAAATGACTAAAGAGTCGCACATAAATAGGATTCAATTTAGTTGATGTCGATATTTTTTTGGCGATTATTTCAATGAGCCAAGAGGCTATCGAATAGGAACAAAGGGAAAATTGATTTGACAATCATACATTCCAGACAAGATCAATTTAGATTAGGATTTAATTTATTTTTTTATTAATCATATTTTACTCTTTCATTTTGTTTTGTTTTTTTTCCCTATTTTTTTTCTGTCTCTAAATATTTAATAATATATCTGATTTTTTTCGTTTTTATTCCTTGCTATTATGTTCGATTAAAAATTCAGGTGGTACGCCCATGATTGCGCCAGCATTTGGTACGTATCCGTTTGATCCACGGGCAGCGTTTATTTCGAACCGTGCTCCGTATCCGGCGCCAGCAATGTATCCACCGCCAATATTGTATTGGAGTTATCCATCGCCACCTGTATCACCGACCACCTATTTTGCTCATCAGCCGACTGCTCATCCGCACGGACTCATGGACTGGAATCCGGGCATGATTGAATCATGGAATACATCATTCTAATAAGCTGTCACAAAACTCGACGTAATCAATTAGACCAAAATAATGACAATATTTAAATTTTGTTTTTTTTTTTTTTAATTTCTGCGTAGAACGAAGAAATTTGAGCATTGTGATGCTCCAAAATAGTGAAGAACAAATTTTTCAATATAAGAAATTGTGAACAACGAAAATGCATAATGTCAAAAATTACAAATAGATAGATAGATATAGATAGATAAAATTTAATGGAAAATTCCATTTGTTAAAATTTTCGTGCCGACGAGCAACTTATTATGTTTGTTCTTTTTTTATGATTTAGTATTAATTCGAAACTAACGAACCACTTGAGTGGCACAGTGAGTTACCAGATAAATAGAACCGATGAGCGCAGCAGATTTTTGCTCTTGCAAATGACGACAAGCAAACGAAAAAAAAAAAAAAAAAAAAAAACAAATGGTCAAATGCGCACCGATATTTGTGTTACCAAGCGATATTTGTGTTACTTCAAGAGGATTTCATACACAACAACATTTCCTCTGCTAAATACCAAATTTCTTAATGTCACAATCAAATTGAACAAATTATTACTTTTTTTTATCGTTCGAATCGTGAATACAAAATGAAAACAAAACACAATAACGATGGATTTGTGCCGAATTCAATCTTTTTTATGTTTTAATTTAACATGATTGTAATCGAATACTTGTGTAATAAAAAAATATATTATTTTTATGCCATTTTAAAAATATTTCATATGAAAATGTATTCTCTCAATTTTTACGATGCTTTAATATAGAGTGCAATTTGATTATCAAGAAGTAGTTGCTCTTTTTTTTTTCAAAATACCATAAATCTTTTCGTGGTCGAAGATCGGTAGGTATCCTTGTAATTTTTTTTCTTTCAGACACATCAAGATCGGCTCCGGAATTTCAATATGAAATAGAGTGTAAATATAAAAAAATCAAATAAAACTCCATTTTTATCGAAAATAGTTCAGTTAAGTATAAATTTTTATTAAACTTCAATGATATAAATGTTGACAAATTCTAGTTTGTCTTTGTTATTCATGTAATTTGTATTCAACAATCCAAATTCATACCGAATTGTTTGGCTCTCTGTTCAATGGCCTTGCTTGCGTACATGTCAAATGAACGTACGTGCCGAACATACTGTTTCAGCTTTGCTGAATCGATTTTCTGAAATGTTAGAAGATGTGATCTTTTCACCAGATTGACAGCCATATCGCGTATAGATTTCAATTCGCCGGCAATTTGTAGTTCGATTATTTTGTTAATTGCACTCGCACTGATCAATGCACCACCAAACAAAACTGATTTGAATTCCGTAAGCTGTTCATCGATTTTGTCATTTTTAGCATCAATTATTAGCTCCCACATCAGTTCGAATTGTTCCGTCGAATTCAATGATTCGTCCAATTCGATCAAAAGCTGTTCCACACAGGTACTGTACACCATGCCGCTGATGAGAAAACCGTTTAAAATCTCTTTCAAATACAACGATGCCAATGGTTTTAGGCTGATAACTGAGATCAATGTGCGCAATGATTCACGATACATTTGCCATTCACATCCATAAAACTTACAGAATACCGCAAAAAATGTATCCATCAAAATTTCATTGCGAAGAAGTAATTGATTTTGTGCCTCACGAATCTCTTGACGTGAAACTGTTTTCAGCATTTCTTCAACATAGTCGGAAGCCGGCAATTCGTGCGAAAAATTACAGTACGGACCATAGCATTCGCTACGAATATGTTTCAGGCAAACATTTCCAAAAATTCGTATCGATGGCCAAAATTCACCATTTTCATCACAATTTGTCAACGCATCCTCCGCATTATCGGTTCGATCGAGTTGCTCGGCAATGCCGTTCAAAAATCGCAAATCATCATCCTCGTCATCACTGTGAAATGAAGAAGAAAATACACAATTTATTTCATTGACATCTTCAATAGAAAAATCAAGAAAAAAAGACACTAAAGTTGGTTGCAAAATGAAAAAAAAAACCATCTCGAAAAACTCACAATTCGTCCAATGAATCTGGTGTCTTATCATAGTCCATGCCGTTTCCGTTTGTATAGCCTTCCGTGTGGTTGTCACCCATTGTCGATATTTGTTTGATTCCAATTGTTACACCGTTTGTTGTGATGCGTTCGTCTTTTGTTGCGTCAACTGCGAAAAACAATAGCTCTATTGTGCTTAGTTCGAACAATAACTGTAATTTTGTTAAGTATTCTTTGCCCTGATGCTAAATGACAGCATACGCACATATACACAAACGCAAACTAACAACGACAATTCTGAGTGGAATAAACTACAAATGAAATATGACGCACTATGTACCGTTGTCTCTAAAAGAGAATATTTTTTTTTCACTTACCTTCGTCGGCGTCGGCACCATTTTCCTTGATTAAAGTCGAATAGGGAATTTCGCCATCTTTTGGACTATCATTATCGTCAGTTGAATCGTCTGTATCACTGATCGAACTCAAACTGCTTACGGATGGGCTGTATGTGTTTTCAAATGCGTCGAAAGCAATTTGTGCTGGTGAATTTTGGACTGGCGAATTTTTTATTGACAAATTCGGAGCATCTTCAGTGGATTCAATGGGCTCAGTAGATGAAACCTACACAACAGAAAATAAAAAAATTCACATCAGTTCATTATTCGCTGAAAAATGATTGACCCTCAAAAAAGATATTATTACAATCGAAACTTTGGAAAAGCAGTGATCGTGTTGTTGTGCATACATTGTTTGTTTGGTTTGTATGCACCCGATGCGTGATGCTGTCGCAATTTGTTCAGGTGATATTCGTTCCATTTGTACCGTACATTTTAGAATATCTCTTAGACGGATTACAAAACCCCGAGTCGCTTCATTTTTCTTCAACTTTGAAATCACAGACGATTTGGATTTAAACGACATCTTCATTGTGCGGATTATTGCTTAATATTTAATCAAACTAAAAACCGATTGCTATGCAATTATACAATTAAATTGTGGTGGACATCGTGTGTTAACGACTTGTCAATAAAGCACTCTGTCACAGTTCGATGTGAATGCTTGGCATTCAGTGTGTTCATTTTGTTTTCGATGGCAGTTCATCGAATCAGCATAAATTGTATTGCAAATGAGTCGAATATAACCTCAATTTTTTTTAAACAACCGCGAATTGTGTAGCTGTCACATTCATTTGACATTTTATTTGTCTTATAAGAACCATATGTCATTGCACGCATACAATCGAATTTGGTTCAGTTTCTGTCTTGTGTGTGTGCGTGCGTACATGTGTATTTGTGTATAATTCTTTACATTTGCCGACGTATGAAACCACATGTATTCACAATTCTTTGCTATACTCAATCCAAAAGTGAGTTCCCTTTCTCGACTTTTTGTCTCTTTTACAAAAGCAATATCATAGCACCAACCAGCTGAACAACGGTGTATGTGGTTAGACTTATATTTTTAATGTGGTGTAATCGTAGGTAAAAGTTGCATTAGACACGTAAAATACGAAAAAAACATTATTTAATTTAAATTGATCACTGAAAGTGTTGTGTTTCCTTCATTCAAGTGAAAGGTGAATTGATTTTTACAATTAAATTCGAATTTTGTATTCATTTAGTGTCAGCTATTGAAATGTCATGATTTAATATAAGAAATATTACTCATCATATTGTTTCACGTTGTTTTAGTCACACAAAATAGATAGCAATCATGTCTGAGGTTGGATCGAACGATGTACCAACTGGAAATGGTGAGGCTCCAGTTAAATCGGCTAAACAATTGGAAAAGGAGGCCAAGAAAGCAGCCAAATTAGCTAAACTTGCTGAAAAACAAGAAAAGCAAGCCGCAGAAGCTCAGAAAAAAGCCACCGAACCAGCTAAAGAGGTGAACATTTTGAATGAATGAATTTCGTGTATTAAAGTGAAACATTTGTGTAATTTTACAAACAATTTGTGTCCACTTTTGTTTTTTTACAAATAGAAAAAGAAGGAAAAGACAAAAGAAGTGAAAGAATCGGCCGTTTATACCGCCAATACAGAAGCTGGTGAAAAGAAAGACATATCTGGACCATTGCCAGACGCCTATAGCCCGAAATTTGTCGAAGCTGCATGGTATGCGTGGTGGGAGAAGCAAGGATTCTTTAAACCTGACTATGCGGTAAGTTTTTTTTTCTTCTAATTCCAAAAGAAAGAATTACAATTCCAATCATCGGTTTTATTGTTATTTCCCATAAAATAGCGTCCCATAACCGAGGAGAATCCAAAAGGAAAATTTGTAATGGTGATACCACCGCCAAATGTGACCGGTTCATTGCATTTGGGTCATGCAATTACCGTTGCAATCGAAGATGCTGTAACACGTTGGCATCGTATGAATGGCAAAACAACACTTTGGGTGCCGGGTTGTGATCATGCTGGTATCGCAACACAGGTCGTTGTCGAAAAGAAATTGTGGCGTGAAGAGCAAAAAACGCGTCATGATTTGGGCCGTGAAAAATTTTTGGAGAAAATTTGGGAATGGCGTAATGAAAAAGGTAGCCGCATCTATGAGCAATTTCGTAGTATGGGTGTATCGGTTGATTGGAGCCGTACATATTTCACAATGGATGATAATATGTCACGTGCCGTTGTTGAAGCATTTGTTCGCATGTATGAAGATGGTACAATTTATCGAAGTTCACGTCTTGTAAATTGGTCATGTACATTACGTTCGGCCATATCCGATATTGAAGTTGACAAAGTGGAAATTCCAGGCCGTACATTTCTATCGATACCTGGATACGATGAAAAAGTCGAATTCGGTGTATTGGTATCATTTGCCTACAAAGTCGAAAATAGCAACGAAGAAATCATTGTGGCAACCACACGTGTTGAAACAATGCTCGGCGATACAGCCATTGCTGTGCATCCAAATGATAAACGTTATGCACATTTACATGGAAAATATTGTGTACATCCATTTACATCACGTCGTTTGCCAATTATTACCGATGACTTTGTTGAAACTGAATTTGGTACGGGAGCGGTAAAGATAACACCAGCCCACGATCCAAATGATTACGAAGTTGGTAAACGTCATAATCTACCGTTTATCACAATTTTTGACGATGATGGTGTCATTGTCGGTGACTATGGCCAATTCACCGGAATGAAACGATTCCAATGTCGCAAAGCGATTTTAATTGCATTACAAGAAATAGGTCTTTATAAAGAGACAACAGATAATCCGATGGTGGTGCCAATTTGTAGCCGATCAAAAGATGTCGTCGAACCGATCATCAAACCACAATGGTACGTCAAATGTGATGAAATGGCAACTAAAGCAACCGATGCAGTCACATCGGGTACATTGAAACTTATTCCAGATATGCACAATAAAATTTGGTATCATTGGATGGACGGAATTCGGGATTGGTGCATTTCACGGCAACTTTGGTGGGGACATCGTATTCCAGCCTATTTAGTAAAGTTCAAAGATGCCAAACAACAAGCAAACGGTTCAGATGTTTGGGTTGTTGGTCGCACTGAAGATGAAGCACGCAAAAATGCGGCCAAAAAATTCAATTTAAACGAAACGGAATTTGAATTGACACAAGACGAAGACGTTTTGGACACATGGTTCAGTTCGGCTCTTGTTACATTTGCATCATTTGGTTGGCCAGATCAAACGCCAGATTTGGCACAATTCTATCCAAATCATTTACTTGAAACGGGACATGATATTCTATTCTTTTGGGTTGCACGTATGGTATTCTTTGGTCAAAAACTTATGGGAGATTTACCATTCAAGTAAGTTCGATCGAACGATTTAGTTATTCGACATTCAAATTAAAATTTCGTTTTTTTTATCAAACAGAGAAGTATTTATGCATCCTATAATTCGTGATGCGCACGGTCGTAAGATGTCAAAATCATTGGGCAACGTAATTGATCCGATGGATGTTATCACCGGTATTTCACTCGAAGATTTGAATAAATCACTACAAAACTCGAATTTAGATCCAAAGGAAATAGCCAAAGCAATTGCTGGACAAAAGCAAGATTTTCCAAATGGCATACCCGAATGTGGATCGGATGCAATGCGTTTCGGCCTTTGTTCGTATAATTTACAAAGCCGTGATATTAATCTTGATATTTTAAGAGTGCAAGGTTATCGATTCTTCTGCAATAAATTGTGGAATGCAATTAAATTCGCACTCATGTACTTCGATGGTACCACCAAGTACAAGTCAACTGTTGAATTGGTTAGTAATTGTCACCGATTTCTTATTTTGATGATAAATATATGTAAATATCACAATTGGCTGTTAATGGCACCCGGAGATGTGCAGACAATAGCATTCGAAACAAATTCACAATTTCCCATATCTTTTCTCAATCTAGACAAATAACGAAAGCAATATGGATCTATGGATATTATCAAGACTAGCAACAGCTGTCGAATTATCAAATGCTGGTTTCGCTTCATACGAATTCCACAATTCAACGGCTGCAATGTACAATTTCTGGCTGTACGATTTGTGTGACGTATATTTGGTATGTTTGCATCATCTTTTATTATCGGTTTCAGTGAATATGATTATTTACAATTCGATGTAATCAATTTGCAGGAATGCTTAAAGCCCGTTTTCCAAAATGGATCAGATGCTGAAAAGGCATCGGCTCGTCAAACACTCTTTACATGTTTGGATACTGGTTTGCGTTTGATATCGCCATTTATGCCATTCCTCAGTGAGGAATTGTATCAGCGTTTGCCACGTGTCGCCGGCGGTCCAGTGAGTATTTGTATTGCACCATATCCAGTGCTAGAAACGTGTCTATGGAAGAGTGATGCAATTGAAAAAGAAGTTGAATTAATGCAAAAAACAGCCAAAGCTATTCGTTCGGCTCGTAGCACATACAATCTTCCAAATAAGACGAAAACCGAGGCATACATTTTATCGACATGCGAAACAACAAAATCGATTTTACAAAAGTTCACCAATGATCTATTGACCACCGCCTATTGTTCACAATTGCATTTCGACGAACAACCGCCGAACGGTTGTGCCATTTTACCAGTGACCGGTCAATGCGAAGTCCATTTATTGCTTAAAGGTTTGATTCAAGCCGATAAAGAATTGCAAAAATTGGAGAAGAAACTCACACAAACAACACAAAATCTGGAAAAACTTAATCAAGCGATGAAAGCAGCTGACTATATCACCAAAGTTCCAGAAGATGTACGAACTCGAAATCAAGACGCACTCATCGAATCTGAAGCCGAAATTGTACGCATTAATTCTGCCATCGAATCGCTTAAATTAATGTAACATTTTGATCACAATTTAAATTGTAAACAAATCGACACACAATTTTACTATACAGCTTTTGCATTTGTTACCTCTTTCTCATATCTTTCTTATCGGAATAAATAATTTCACAATGTATTTTTTTTTGTTGTAAAAACAAAAACAATAGATTAATTGTTTTAATTGAAAGAAAAAAAAGATAGTAGTAAGTCGTTTAGAGCCAATTCATAGTTGACAATTTTAGCGGCAAGCAGCAATATTCATATAAATCAATACGCCTAAAAGTATACCAAAAACCAAAATGTTTCATCGCTTTTCAGTAATAAGAAGGCAATAAATAATAAAATAATATGAAAGCGCGGAATTCACTATTGCCATCTCGCTTATTCTCCAGGATGACTTTGAGTCCATACATTAACTCTATTGAAAATATCGAGAGAAGAGTATGTTTTTATTCAGACATTACTCAGCCATAAGCGCTGAATAACATACTCTCTTCTCGATATATTCAATAGAACTGAAATCCCATTTAATTTAAAACCTGTAACTACTTTGGTGTAATGTAATATGCAAATGATCGCTTAAGCAAAATGGAAAAAATGGAATTCCATTCGCAAAATATGTATCAAAGTCGGAAGCCCCTAGGTAATTATTTTGATCAATAATTGTTCAAGTTTTTGAATTAAATACACGAGTCTGAATAAATGTAGTTCCGTGCTCGAAACTACGTCACATAAACTATAATTTGGAAAATTGGAAGTGTAACCCATTCCACTACTCTTTTATATCTATTTATATACACTGTAACAATTAGTGGGCTTGATGCGAATTAATTAAATAACATACACTTTTTTTGTGCGAACTTCGTTGTTTCCAGGCAAGTCAAGGTCATCCGTGTGACACGAACCGTGTCAGAAGGTGATTTGCATAAATTGCTATTCATTTTTATCGTCGAAAAAGTAATTAGATCTTCAATATAGAATTTAATTTTAGTTGGATTATTTGTCCCTTAATAGTCAGGTCTATCCAGTTTTTCTTTCTCGATTTGTTGCTGATGGTGACTTATAATTTATCGGAGCAACGGCAAGACAGATCACTCATCAGATCACAACGATTCAATAAGACCAGTTAATTTAACCTTCTGGTTACCTACTTGAAACATTCTTTTTCTACACAGAGTTGATGAGTGTCACCCGACTATACCAGTATATACGCGTGAAAGTCAAGTGCATTCAACTTTTAAGCTGAATAATACGTTTCGATTTATAAACAAACGATGGTTCAGTCATAACGACACTGAAGACATTATCAGAACATAGTCGGATACATATATACAATGTATGCATTTTTTGTGGTCATTACGATTTCACAATTCAATGCAATTGCATTGGTTCAATCTATTGTATAAATACGTGTCGCTGCCTTATAAGACGTTAGTTCTGAGTAAAACGTGAGCATAGTAACACGCATTAAGTGCAAGTGATTTAGAAAAAAAAAATCAGTTCGGAAATCAGAAAGGATTTATTTTGTTAATAACGGTGTCATTAAAAATTAAAGTAAAATATTCAAACTTCGATCAAAATGCAACGCAGAAATTTCCAGTACTTGAAGGAGCACATTTTGCCACTGTCGGAGTCGTCTGATTTTAATATAGCAAAGTTGGAATGGGAACTTGACTATGTTGTGGTGTCTATTGATTTCGGACAGTGTCCGTGCACCCAGCCAATTAAAGAGCATTGTTATCTTCGAAACAAAATAAATAAAAATACCACACATGTGGGCAATATTTGTGTGAAGAGATTTATGGAAATCGATGCAAGCAACGTTTTTTCAGCCTTAAGGCGAATACAAAAGGATCGCAAATCCAAACCGAATCACGATCTCATTGAGTATGCAATGAAAAAAGGTTATTTGTATGACTATAAAGATTACAATTTCTTACAAAACATCAAAAACAAAAGAAATCTATCGGAAGGACAATTACGATGGCTAGGTTTTATCAATCGCCGAATTGTCGAAGGAATTGTTGTTCAACATTTATCTGACGCTGCACCGGCTCACGGAGGCAACGAACACGGAGGCAATGAAAACGGTGAATATGTTGAGGAAGATTACGAACCGGAGACAGAAGAAGAAAATGAAACGAGTGAAGATGAAACGATTATCGACAAGGCAGAAGAAGAAGAAGAAGAAGAAGAAGAAGAAACGGACGACGATTATCAATTGGATTGAAAAAAGCAAATAAATTCAATTCCTTTTTCAATTTAAGTATTACACATTTATGATTCATCCATTTTATCGGAGCAATATCACAAAAAATATTTTTTTAAAATCAATTTATAAATAAAAAAATAAATAAAATTTTCAAAAAAAAAATGATCAATGATGTAATTATTGCATCGTATTGAAGAACGAAAATCAATAACTTTCTAGTGTATTGTCCGAATATCTGTCTCCATTACATACGAGTAAGTACTGATCGTCACTCTTGACTCCAAATGCGTTCATAACTATAAACACATCGGTTATCGGTATACACAATAACACATATTATATAAATACAAAATGCGAGAAAGAACATTCGGCCCTTTTTTCATGAAAAATCATGCAGTAACTTGAACTAAGTTTGTCGTACAATGAAAATGAGTCATCAACTATTCAATTTCATCATCCGCTGCAATATATAGCCATTTGTTGTGAAATCTCATTTATTTAATTATTTTGCAGTTTTTCAAATGTTGGATCTAATTTCAATTTTATACATATGTACACATGGCTATCAAATTAAATATCCAAATATGTTGTTCAAATAAAGTAGATACACTGAATCATGATTGTTTTTCTGTGAGGCGTATTTACGCGCATAATTTTCGTTTTATTGCACTGTACAATTTGCACAAATGAACTAGTTGTGATCGATAGGCAGTTCTACAGAAAATCATTCAACCATAACCATTACACATTATTAAACAATGGATTATTTAACAATGGAAATTACACATGCATTGGTTTGACACGTCTGTTCATAAGAAAAACAATGACACGCCAAATCGTGATTATTAAAATGAAAAAAAAAGACGAATACAACATGGTTATATATGAACCGCTTAGAATAAAAGTAGATAATGGTAGAAAGTAAAAAAAAAATCTCAATCATAAAGTGTTATGATTGAGTAATCAAGGAATCACATAGCAAGTTTATATGAAGGAAAAAAGGATAGGTCGAGAAAATAAACGAACATATTCTTATCAAAAAGGCACGCGCCACAGACAAAAACGCAAGAGCTAAATTATCATAAGCAGATTATTTAAAAATAATTTGAAAAATGAAATAAACATGTTATCAATCAGTGAATCACTGAAAAGTAGTGCTGTTTTGTATATGATTCATTCCCTTTCTTACAATCGCATCATATAGAACCAGAATATAAATATGGTGAAATGAATATAAAATAATTTTATCTCGAATACTTTAGTACAATAGAATCGTTTTTTTGAAATTGTTCTACTTAAAATTGGAGGACCAAAAATAAAATTAATGAATGTGTTTATTTTTGTTTTTATACTCTCAAGGGGTTCAAAATCTCAAGAACCAACCACTTAACAATCATTTGCTCTAATTCTTGGAAATGGATACTCAATCATCAGCTTCTTTTAAGAATCAGTGGTTTTCGATTTTGAAATTGAAAACAGCTACGTAGAAACGGATGATAATTTATTTCAAGATAAGAGGCATGAAATACACGATTTATGCATATGAAAATATTTTTTATGGCCTGTAAAACTTCTTAAATCGAAATGTGTATGGCTAATGATTTGAAAATATGTATGCACATCTCCGTTGAATATTTTCCGTAAACATTACTACTACATACTACTTTTGGTATTGTTGTTTTAAGCAATATTTCAAATGGCATCCATTCAATTTCGTGCTACTGAGCGAATTTCGTATAGGTTTATAAATAAATTTCGTGGGATTTGCCAGTATTATCAAAGTGAACTTTGCTATATTAAGTTTATTCATTTCATTTTAATTTTGAACAAGGAACAGAATAACTGTAGTGTGTAGTATGTACAATTGTACATCTTCGGATATCACGGTTTCGACTGTTTACCAATCACACATTATATTGAGTTATTTTCAGCGAGCTGATGCATGGAACTAACGCCAGTCGCTGAAACGGAGTGAAAACAGCAGAAATGATTTTTATAACGACTGCAAAAATGTAAGTATTTTTATAACCATTACCATTGTTTTCACTCCGTTTCAGCGCCTGGCTTTAGCTTCCTGAGTTGATTCAGCTGGCTGAAAATATTTCAATATAATGTCTGCTACTAACACATACCAATGCACGTTCATTGTATCAAAAAATCGTTCACTATAGAGAGCGAGTAGTACGACTGTAGTGGTTTTAACATGTTGTCTCAATATATATCGTGCAATGTAAACAATATTGCCAACCAAACATCTATCAGCATAGTTCTTTCCATAGAATCTATACATAATAAAAATCTGAATATTTGGCTTTATTTTTTTATTTTTATTTTAGACAGTATAGTCAAAATAACAATAAAATGGGCAGATTTTTACTAAATGTTGCAATTAAAAAAAAAATATCTCACTCAGTTTGATAAGAATTATACAAAAAGAGAAAGAATATTGCAATGAATGCCGATTATATGGGAAAAACCAATACTGTATTGCCAATACATATACAGTGTCCAAATTTCAGTACGAAAACTTCATTCGTGAAATCATCTTACATTCCGATGTCCGTGCTCTCTCTCTCTGTGTATATGTTGTAATACCAGACAGAGTTAATACAAAGGGACTGGGCGTGCGTGTATGTGCGCATGTTTATTTGTATTGTTCTATATTTATAAAATTTTTATATACATATACCGGTAATATACAAACTCGAAATATTTACAATACATACATAGATCGTTTTGTGTTCGTTTAGTCCTTTGTTGAATGCAATTATCAATTAGTATAACTCAATTCATCGAGAAGAGAACACATATTTGTTATTCGTGATTTTCAGAGAGGAAAGAAAAATTGTTGAATAGTTCAACATATTTACAAGATGGCTTGCTGCGGTGACGACGGTTATAGTTTGTTTTCGACAAACAATCAATATGGTATGGTTGAAGTGAATTCAAGTGAAGTTTTAGTTTATTTAAAAATTTGAGTGAATTGATCTTGTTTTTTATTTGGCAATAATTCAGGTGAAAAGTATCAATACGATGTGGACTTCAAGGGTCCAAAGTCGCGTCGATCACACACTGATGTGTATTGGTTGGTGGGTTTTTTGGTTTTTACGTCTGTTTGGCTTATACTTGGTGCTTGTGGTAAGTTTATATTTTCGATATTTTTTTTGTCGTGTCGAGTTTTTTTGCATTGCACTCAGCTTCTTCAACGCCTCTATATGGTATTCCACGAAAATGCTGTAGTCCACGAAACGGAATTTCGTCATCACTCTCTTTATTTTATTCTTTCTTCTTTATTTTCGCCAATTAGTTTTGATGCAAGATTCTCACAATGAGCACCAAGCACAACTTATGATCGAACTCGATATCAGAGATGCACCAGTAAGTATTTTAAGATTTAATCATACGACGAATATGTATATGTATAATTTGATGTTAAGTGTGTATCAATTGGGAATATGCCGATCAAAAATTGTTTTGCAATTGATTGGAGTCAATCATTTTTTTAAAAAATACTTAGACGAGTCTGGCAGTATTTATTTTATGTTTTTTTTTCTGTTGAAACTTTTTTTGTCTAAATATGATTTTCTCGAACAAAACATAAATTTCTTAAACTATTTAAAAAAAACTGATATCACCAAGTTTCGGCACATTTCCCGTCCGGAAATTCCCTACATAAACATGCGATAAAAAAATATTGCGTTTTGTTTGGATGAATTTCGTCGACTTAAAATACAGGGTGGGCCATAATAACTGAAGGGTTTTTACTTAACATTCTTACAACTGTGCAATGACTTTTGATTCACCCGGTCTTGCACCGCTATGTTTGTCGATCCTTAGCCTAACTATTATGCGCATTTTGATTCAATGTTTATTTGAGACGCAATAAGAATGGATGTGAAACGCAAAAATATCAATGTTTCGAAAACCGCATCTGTGCGAATTTAAGATGTTAAATTTGCACAAACGCGGTTTTTGAAACATTGATATTTTCCTATAGCTACAAAATGGACAGGTTTACATGACATTTAATGAATGTACTATCAAACGATTACAAAAGAAAACCGGGAGAAAAAGATCCGTTCGTACAAAAGCACTCATCAAACAAGTCCTAGCCAAAATTTGCCGAAATCGCCAAAGAAGTGCCAGAAAGCTGGCTCAAGAGCACAATATTAGCCGGTCTTCGATGCGACAGCGTTCAAAAAAAGCCGTTGACATGGTCTTACGATCAAAAATATGCAAGCCAGAAAACAAAAATGCAAAGAACTGTTGCGCCGGCACGCCAATTCAAATATCGTTTTTTCCGATGAAAAGTTGCAACATCCAAGTCTCATTGAACAAAATGATCGTGTGTTCGCAGTGTCTGCAATAGACATTCCTGAATACGAAAAGACCATTGAACGATTTCAGAATGTTCCAAAAGTGATGGTTTGGGGCGCATTTTCAGCCGATCGAAAATTTTCTTCTTGTTTTCATCCGAAAAGACGTAAAAATCAACGCTATGGGTGTTTCAGCAGGATGGCGCACCTGCACACCGAGCTAAAACAGTGCAACAGTGGTTACGAACAAATTTGGCGATAAAAAATATATATTTCATTTTATTCAAAAATGTGTTTTTTAGAGCCAAAAATACACCCTTCAGTTATTCTGGCCCACCCTGCAATAAACAGTTCACTAAGATTAAATGAAATTTTATTTATTTATTTTTTTATAGTCAAAATCGGTGGTTTTTGAATATCTGAAGAAAACATTATGGTGCTATTTGAGTACTATATCTCTTGCAACAGTGATCTGCTTGATCTTGATTCATGTGATGCAATGGATTGCGACTCCAGTTGTTTGGTTTTCAATATGCTTAATGATTTCTATGTTCTTTGCAGGTAAATAGTGAAATTAAAAATTTAGTCCTTAAATTAAATAAAGTTCATTGAACTGAATATTTGTGAATTAATTTCAGCGGCAATTGGAGGTTTTATCACTTACTCTGAAGAACAAACAATAGACCACGATGCAGCTGCAAATGGACTTGGCATGGGCATTGCGTTTATGATAATAACGCTTGTTACCATTCTGTGTGTTTATTTGGCACGTCATAAAATTACTGTTGCAATAGCACTAATCAAGGAAGGTAGCAAGTAAGTTGGATTAAAATGGGAATTTTATCAAACATCACTTTGATATTGATTTATTTTCAAGAGCTGTTGCTTCGTCCTATTCAACTGTATTTTTCCCCATAATTCCGTTGATCTTCCAAATTGGTATATTTGCAATTTTTGCAAGCGTTTTGGCAAACATACAATTTATCGGATCATATGATGACGATGGAATACGAGCAGCTTTACATGTACGTTTTTTTTTCATTACACATTCAATATTTGAGTTGAATGAATATTTACGTTTGAATTGCAGTTGGTGAACTTGTTTGGATTTCTTTGGGCTTATTGGTTCATGGATGCATTCCAAAAAATGGTCTTGGCACACGTGTTTTCAACATGGTATTGGACATACGATAAAAAAAATCTTCCAATGTTAACACTAACTACGGCGTTAGTTCGTACAACACGGTAAATTTCGACTGTTCAATTATTTATTTATATTTCTTCTGCAAAGTGTAAACTTCAATGATGTGCTTATTATAGGTATCATCTTGGCACCGTTGCACTTGGATCCATTTTGATAACAATCGGTCAAATTATTTGTTACATGATTCGAATTCTGATGAACAATCGTTACATGCGAGTTTTCCGACTTTGTTGTGACATTACCGAAATCATTGAACGATTCTTGCAATTTTTAAACAAGAACACATTCATCATGGTCGCTATTCATGGTAATCCATTCTGCCAAAGTATGCGTGACGCATTCAACCTATTGATGCGAAATATTGCAAGCGTTTATGTGACAAGCCGAGTGACAACGCTTCAATTTGCCCTTTTCAATGTCGCCATTTCCGCTGGAATGGGAGGATTAACCTATCTCTTCATAGATAACCGTGATCCGGATCTAATATGGTATCCAATTGTAGTTGCAGTAATTGGTTCGTACATCGTTTCATCCACATTCTTCAAAGTTTATGCAATGAGCATCGACACCATGTTCCTATGCTTCTGTAAGTGAATATTAAAAAAAAAAAAAAAAAAACAAGAATTGACTAATTTTTTGTGCGTTCTTTTTATTACTTTTTCTTTTCAGTGGAAGACATCGAACGAAACGATGGAAGTGAGCAAAGGCCATACTACATGTCACAAACGCTAATGAAAGTACTTCACAAGAACAGCGAAAATCTTCTTCCACCCCCTTATGAACATGTTTAATTCTCATATTTTTTTTATCAAGTTTAATTTTCTTTTTTTAATGGTTGAATATGGCCTTTAAAAGTGTGTCCATTACTTTAAACAATATCGGAACAATTATAAATGATGAAATTTGTCGAAATTTTAATGAATAAATATCGGACGCATTTAAAATACAACCTTTTTTTCTTTATTTATATACCGATTAACACCTCTTTCAATTGAAATTGTTTATCATATTTGCGTCAGATTGTGTATTTTCAGTAATTTTTAAGCAAACATTGCTATAGCTCGAGTTCAAAATGACCATAGTTTTGTTCAGTATACACTAGGGTGTTTCTCATATCTGAAAATAAAAAAATGGTAGTCGTTAATTAAAAGTGCAAAAAATTCTAAGACAAATCATGACATTTACACAAAGCATCGACTGATGGTCACGCTTCCCGAAGCAAAAAACTGTTTTCAAAATTGAATGTTACTTACAAAGAAAAAACGCCCCATTTGTACTCCTGCGCAGTCAACAACAACCAAATGGGGTGTCAACCCACATGGTCGGGATAGCCTTAATAACTAATGTTACAATTGTTTTTTTTTGTTTGCGTTGTGCTGATCAGACAGCATGATCAGCTGGCTGCTGGTCGTACTCGAACATTTCTACATCATTATCTACGTTGGCGGCAGCAGCAGCAGCTGCTTCAGCGACATCAGCGGCTACTTCGGCGGCCTCAGCGACAGCATCGCGGGCTTTATATCTATTGATCGCATCCGGTATCGGAAGTCCTAGCAATGTCCATAGTCCTGAAAAATCAAACAAATGAATCTTCTTAAGCAATCATTCAATCGCAATTGTATCGTCAATTGGCCTTACCTTTCAGCAGAATGTTCTTAGCAGCCACGACGTCACGATGCCAAGTCACAGAGCATTCGAGGTTTAATTGCCAGTTTTTATAGTAACTTTTTACTTTTGACAATAAAGGCTCGTTTTCTTCCAATGCTTCGTTCATGGCGCGTTGCAACAATCGAAATTCCGATAGATCCTTCTTGCCCAACTTTGACACAATTTTTATTGGCAGCAATGTTCTGGCGTCGGGTATGCACCGGCATTTCTTGAATCTGGCCGATTTGGGCTGGTTTTGGAATCGCTTCATACATCTTGCGTCTGTTTGAGATGATCCCCATTCGTCCACCAGCTCTATGGCACAATCTCGACGTTTCTTTATTGACCTCAAAGTCAAACGAACCCCTGGACACCGCACGTGCTTTTTGATACTTATTCGGCTGTCAGGTGGTACTTCCCCATCAGCACCAAAAAGAAACAATGTCGATTGCTTATCGGTAACCTTTTCCACCCAATTGTCGACAACACTACTGCTTTTGATGTGTTTGTCCAAGGCGAGTCGAGTGTACTTGGCAGTCGAGTAAGCACAGATCCCATGCTTCATCATTTTGACTCGGTGCTTGATGTAGTTCAGCCAGTATGATCCTTTTGGCGATGGCATCACTGGGTACAGCTCACGATTTTCTCTGTCTCGGCGCTCCTCTTCGATGAAAGCTTTGGTCCAACGCTTTGCTTTGGCATTTCGCACATTTTGACCAGTCTGCCAGTGGAACTGCTTGCTCGACATCACAAAGTTGGTCTGAAATTTTTTTTTTTTTTAAATGATTAGTTATTGAATTATAGCATTTACGCGGTCTATCTTCCATTGATACATATACAACATAAATGTAAAAACTTACTTCGGTGCCAGTTATAATGTTGTGTGTCACTGTGGTGTTCCAACTTTTCAAGCCTGTATCAACGCCTGCAAAATTTTCGAATTTGCCATCCAAAATCATTTCAACGATGCGAGAACGGTCGTATTCTGTGTTATTCGTCTTCTTTTTGGCCGAGTATTGCAGAGACACAGCGATTCCATCGGTGTTTATAGAAAAATCAAACTTCTTTTTTCCACGCACGAATCGCCGAATTTTCCGCATGTAGAAATACTGATTCCACCAATGATCACGCGCATCGTTGAAACCCTTTTGTGGAAGAATTACCATGCTTGTTGTTCCGTTTTTGTTTTCAACTTCCACTTTCGGTAGCAATTTTTGCGAAGACAACACCTGGTGCATGCTTGAACAATCGATTTTGAAGTGCTTTCGGCGAAAATCACACATCGGCACCACTACTAAATTCCGGATGAATGGCCGAAACTTTAGATCGTCGAGCATTTGTTTGCGCTTGGGGCGACGCTTTGACTTTTTGCGCTTTCTTTTCTTTCGTTTGGATCGGTGCTGATGTGGCCACTCCAAGTTATACTCTTCTATCTCACGTTGCATAGATAGGAACATTGGCATGGCCTTAAACCAATGTTTTTCGTCAGTCGTGAGGTCATGCAGATCGATTTCTGGAAACACATTCAAGTCGTTCACCATGTCATACAACATGCCACACCGTTCGAGTTTGTTTGGATCGTGAATTGGCACTCTGATGTTTTTTTCTTTGATGATCAGTTTTACAACACTTTCGATGTCACTTGGCAAAAATTTCTCTGCGTCCTCTTCTCCGTCTGTGTTCAATTCGAACACTTTCAGTCTCAAGTACTGGGTGATGTGTTTGTCAGCATGCGTTGTTGAGTTGGTGACGACGTTGTCTGTGTATTGATTGGTCAAATGCTTTAGGCCATTGCTGAAATCATTGTTGTTGGGCCAATCGATACGATGATAGTCGTCAAGACCTAAAAATAAAATATGTTTTTCAAATTCAACTAAATTGTGTACTGTGTAGTCAAAACTCGCTATTTTATAAGGAGGTTTAATTGTTTAATAAATCAACTATTTTTATTTATTACCTTCGACAATTGCTTTGAATTCAGGGTCGATAGCTGGCAGCTCTGGTCGTGGTCCTCGTGGCTTTTTTCCTCGTGGTCTGTACGTCGACTTTTTCGGTTTCGGTGGCTGATTGTTTTGCCATAGCACTTGGTTAAAGCAGAGTTGGATCTTTTTTTCTCCACTTCCACCAAAGAATGCGAAATCATTATTCTCAAGGCCTATGCTCGTACGCCTTTTGCACCTCGAACAAGAACAGTAATGAGCCCAAAAAGGAAATTGAAGTGGCTTGCAAACTCAGGTCCGTTATTTTGCTCATCAATGCTTGCTGGAATTGTGGGCGAATGATTGTCTTCAGCGCACATTTGATCGTCGTAATCTCATCCTTCGTTTCTCCCTTCGCTGGTATGGATGGCTTGAAGCGATTCGCCATTTTCCTATTGGAAAAAAAAACAAACATTCGATTTAGTTTGAAAACGAATTTGTATTGAATTTTCATTGATCCATATAATTTAAAAGTGACGACTTTTCATATCAAACAATGTTCGATCGAAAAAAAGTATATAAAAAAATATATACATTGAAAAAAAATGTGCTCCAGCACTGAAATAAAAGCATTCACATGTAATTTGAAAATATCAACCGAATGCACAGATGCAAAACATACAATCAAAGTGAAAAATCCTTTTAACCAATCCACACAAATATTCACATATGTTCCGAATTCAATTTGATCGAACGACAACAAAACACGAATCTATCGCTTTTTTTGGTACACACACAAAATCATGCAACACAGAAAAATGACAAAACTCTTCGGATTGATAACAATGGCAGTGATTTAGAGAGAAAAAAAAATTTAAACACATTTCTTTGATAAACGAGTTATTGTTTCTCTTTTCTAAACAATGGAACCAATTCAAAATGGGTATCACTGCTTGAAATGAATTTCACCACCTCACGCAACAGAATTATGTACTGCAGAATAATTGTGAAATACATTACTTTTTTCATAAAATGTAATGTTACTGTTAATATGTTCAACGTTAAAT